CTTGTTTTGTGTGTGTGTGTGTGTGTGTGTGTGTGTGTGTGTGTGTTTCTGAATATCCCTGCTCTCCATCCCAAGACATACCTTACTAGTGGCATAGACCTAGACACAGTAACCTAAACAAAGTTCGGGCTTGTTTTGTGTGTGTGTGTGTGTGTGTGTGTGTGTGTGTGTGTGTGTGTGTTTCTGAATATCCCTGCTCTCCATCCCAAGACATACCTTATATGGAAAGTTCAGAACTGGAGAGTGTATGGAAATTTGATCAAGCAAGCACAAAAAGATTATGTCACATGGAATCTTTGGAAGAGATTTTCTTTTTCTTCTAGAGAGAGTAATTTTCAAAGCAGTTGGACAAGGCTAAAAAAGAGTTCATTAATCAAATTCGTGAGAGCCATGTGAGGAAAGAAACAGAGAAAGGTTTGTTTAGAATCTGGGAAATTGTTGATCCCATCCCCATACATGGTTCACAATGAGGACCTCTGTTTGTGGCTCTGGGTGGTGCAGTGGCAATGGCTGAGAAAAGAAAGAACTTCAGATCAATCTCTGATGAGACTTGACTAATTCAAGGAATTACAGATGCTCAAAGAAAGGAGGGTTTTCTTGAATCTCTGTCCAACATTGGCTCCCATCCCCTGGTGTAACTGACCACCCCCTGCCATTGAACATTCGTTAACTTCATAAATGTTATCTGAACCCCACTTCCATAGCCTGTTGTTGTGGTTGGGATCCATGGACGTAGTTCTGACTTACACCATTCACAACAGAATAAAAGCTTGTCCAGTTCTGCACCATTGCCACAATTGCTGTTACACTGGATCCCATTGTTGCAGCACCGTGTCAACTCATCTCCCAGGAGTCTTCCTCTTTTCACTGGCCCTCTGCTTCACCAAGCATGATGTCCTTCTCCAGGGACTGGTCTCTCCTGAGAAACATGTCCAACATGCATATGCTGTCTCACTGTTTTCATTTCTAAAGAGCATTCTAGCTGTAATTCCTCCAACACAAATGTGTTTGTTCTTCCAGAAGTCCATGATTTAAAATATTTGACAGTGTCATAATTCAAATGTATCTTCTGCAGTCTTCCTTATTCCTTGTCGAACTTCCACATGTCTAGGAAGCTAATGAAAACGCCATGCCTTAGGTCAGACACACCTTAGTTCTCAAGGGTCCATCTTTGTTCTTCAGCACTTTAAAGAAGTCTTGTGCAGTACACTTGCCTGCTGCAATGTATCATTTATCTCTTGACTGCTTCTTCCATTAGCATTGATTGTGGACCCAAGTAAAATTAAGTTCTTGACTTCAATCTTTTATCTATTGTGATGATGTCTACTGGCTCAAATCTGAGAAACTTTTATTACTTCATAGAGTAGCATACATACTGAAGGCTGCAATCTTTGATTCTCATCAGTATGTACCTAAAGTAGTCCTTCTTGAATTCAGTAAGTAGCATTTTGTTATCTACATATCACAGGTTGTTAATGAGTCCATAAGTCCCAATTGACTTGATAGCAATAGTTTTATTTTTCTTTCTTAACCTCTGGATAGTAAAGTACCATGATAAAACCAGATTTAGATATTTCATTAAGACAAGTGAAAATCATAGGTATAATTGTGAGTGACTTATATTGTGGCATTAAAATATTGTATAATAATATAATTATCAATCCCAACCCAATGATAATGTTTGAATGTAATAGTTGAAAATAATTGATGAGAAATACAATCTTCCTCTAGTTCCTAAAGGTTTCCTCCCCGCTCCCACTACCATGACTCGAATTCTATCTTGCAAGACTGGCTAGACCAG